CAACTCACAATCTTTCTCCTTGATACAGGTAGGAGTTCCTCTTCCACAAAGCAGGTGCATGCTGTCAATTATTCTGGTCTTTATTTCCCCATGGAATGCTTGCTGTCTTATTAAAACTAATTGTTGGGTTGCTGAAAGCAACTGCAGGGCTGCAAGATTGTGCACTGAGATAGTTAACCTTCTGTTTCCTAGACAATTTCATTCATCACCATGACTTGTTACATATTTGTGAGCACCATGTTCTGCCCAAAATGTGGCTTTGTACAGAAACCTCTTGAAGTGTCTCTCCTATCATTCTGACTTTCTGAAGGAATGGAAGGAAATACAACAAAATGAAATTCCTTTTTGGGGTCAGTGTTCTCCTTGAAAAATATCTCCATATGTTACTGAAGGTCACACTGCTTTTGAATGTGTTACTTCTCACTAAATAATAAAGTCTGTGTGAGCAGAATATAAATTGGATTACCACTTCATGCAGTGCTATACAAGAAAATGCATTACTTTTCCTTCATCTGAAAGCTTTCTTGACTTCAGAAATAAGAAAACTTTTTAAATAGATATCTGTGTTCATTTTTGGGCACCACAGTTTAAGAAGAATATCAAGTTGTTGGAGAATGTCCAAAGCCCAGGATGATGAAAGATATGGGGGAGAAGCCATGTGAGGCGTGGGTGGGGTCACTTGGTCAGTTCATCCTGGAGAGGAGGACACCAAGAGACCTCACTGCAGTCTACAGCCCCCACATGAGGGGAGGAGGAGAGGAAGACACTGGTCTGTTCTCTATAGCGACCCAAGGCAGAACCTGAGGAAATGGCCTGGAGTTGGGTCGGGAGGTTTAGGTTGGATATTAGGAAAAGATTTTTCTCCGTGAGGGTAGTTGAGCGCTGGATCATGTTCCTTACAGAAGTGGTCATGGCACTGAGCCTGACAGAGTTCAAGGAGTGTTATACAGCACTTCAGGCACATGGTGTGAGTCCTGGGGGTGTCCTGAAGGGCCAGGAGTTGGACTCGATGATCTTCATCAGGTCCCTTCCAACACAGGATATTCTGTGATTCTATGAATTTTGCTCTAAAAGTTGCTTTAACAAAATGTTTCACTAAAGATATTTTTTTTTTAGAAGTTTTTTTCCTATTTTATTCCTAATGCACACCTAACACTCTTGCACAGACACAAATTTTTAATATGAAAAAAAGTTTTGTATTCTGTTTTTTGTTTTCTCCGTGGTTCTAGGGAATTTCTGCCCATGATGTCAGCAACAAAATTATGATTGATTGGGCCTCCATTATTCTGTTGGTGTACTCTCCTGCTGTGAGGTGTGTATATACCTGACTCATTGATTCATTTGTAGTCGTATGATTCCATGACTTAGAAAAGAAACCTAGCAATGGGAAAAGAGCAGAAATGATGCTCAATATCTTCCAGTGTTGAAAAAGTTATATTTATTTTATTTTATTATTATTTTCTTGGGTTTTTTGAGTAAATGACAAACCAAAAGAGTATTACCATTGCTTTAGTGTCATTGAGAAGAGGTTTTGCACTCAGGCTCATCACACTGGACTCTGAAATGATAACAGATGTGCATCCACCCAGGAAATTACCGTTTTCAATAAGAACCAGGGCAGCAAATGGATTTTCATGCATGGAAAAATAATGTAATAAACTGAGCAAGACCCTGGCTTGATGAATTATATAGTCATAGAAGGGAAAAAATACAATTTGTTTAAATTTCTGAAACTTCAATAGAGCTATAAAACAGGAACACTTTCTACTCCAAGTAATAAAATAACAAGCAGAGGCTTACCAAGTAAATACATTTATGAGTCTGAAGCTTCACACTATTTTTATGAATTTCCCTACTGACAATTTTATCTTTTACTGTCAAATACTGAAAATAGTTAGGAAATATTAGGTGTGCTTTTATATTTTTATGATACAGTGCTCTTTCTCAGGGGACTCATGATGGTAGGAAGAAGGAAAATCATATTCATTCCTTTATAAATCTTTCTATTCCCTAATTCCTTACAGAAGTAAATGAAAAATTCTTCACTGAAGTCCAAGGCTGTCATACAGACCTTGAGGACTGAAAAGAAAGAGGAGCATTGTGAGTGAAAATGAGTCTAAGTCTGAACAAAGAAAACATCAGAAAAACTGTTTATCCAAATCAAAATTTTTAAAAAGTGTTTTAAAATTAATTGAAAGAGACAAATGGTTATTCAGAATTATAGAATCAAATAATAATCTATTCTATTACATTATAATTATAATATTATATCTGGAGCAATATCAATAATAAAAATAAAAACAATAATAATAATTTTATAATATCTTATATGTAGTATAAAGATAATGTATTTACAGAACTGAAGAATTGGATTTGGAGGGACCTTAAAGATTATCTAATTACAGCCCCCCTGTTGTGTGCAGTGATATCTTTCATTACACCAGGTTACTCAAACCCCATCCAACCAGTTCCAGAACTTCACCATCCTCACACCCTCACAGTAGAGAATAATGAACATATTTGTGTCCCCTTTTCCCCCCCATGGACAACTGATTTCTACCTTACTCATGAGGCTTGTAGTACCACTTTTGCTATGGCAATTCCCTGTTCTTTCTTTAGTGCCTTGCAAATTCTGTTGGAAAAATGCTAATGACTGTATAAAGCACCACGTTAAACCTTGAATCTCCACTGACTGCTAAATAAACAATTTCCTTTCTTTGCTCTTAGCATCCACACATCACCTCACGGGTTTCTCACTTCTGTTATTTTCTTTACTCTCCAAACCTTCTTTGCATACAACCAAGGGGATCTCTTTCCTTTCCATCCAGCTCAGAACTCACATAAATTGCTGTTCTTAGCAATGGTGTGTTGTGGTTTGACCCTGACTGAGGTTTGACCCATCCTGACAGGGATGCACCAAAGCCTCTATCACCCCCCTCCTCATCTGGGCAGCAGAGAGAAAATACAATGAAAGGATCACGGGTTGAGATAAGGCCAGGGAGGAATAAATGGAATAATGTTTTGCCCACCAATGGGCAAAACAGACAACTTAGGGAAATCAGTTTAATTTATCACCAATCGAAATCAGAGCAGGATAATGAGAAGTAAAAGAACTACAACATCTTCCTCCCTCTATTTCCCTCTTTCCTGGGCTTAATTTTATTGCCAGTTCTCTGCCTCCTCCCCATCATCAACCTGGGCAGATGGGGAATGGGGCTTATAGTTGTTGCATCACATGTTTTGTTTGCTGCTCCTTCCTCCTCGGGGGGAACTTTCTCCTGGGTGGGGTTCTCCCCAACCTGTTCAGTGTGAGTCCTTCCCACGGGCTGCCCTTGTTCATTAACTCCTCCTTCCACAGGGTGAAGTCCTCGGAAACAGCGCAGTGCTTGAGTTACAGTAACTATGACCCTCAGTGAGGTCACAAATTTTATTTATTACTGATAAACTGATAAAAATGTGTTATCTGCTTCACAGTCTATAAATCAAGGCTTCTGCTTCAGGGATTTTATAGCCTCTTCTATTAGTTGCTTTTTGAAGGGAAGTGCAGGAAAGGCTGTGCAAGTTTTTTCTCACCTTGTGTTTCTAAACAAAGTACAATGTCGTTCTTTTGTTGTCCAGTGAGTAACCTGAGGCACGTTGTCTGATGTTAGTACTCACAGCTACTGTTAGAGATTGCCTGGGAGGTGAGTATGATCCCAGAGAGGGCAAAGTGGCACAATCACACTCTGCCTTCCATTTGCTAAGCTGATCTGCATTATCGGTGCCAGCCAAGAAGGGACCAATACTTCACTTACATAAAGTAAAATCTGTAGAAAGGAAACAGCAAAAGTAATTCCTTTTAAAAACATTGCAGTGCTGTTTTAGCATTTCATAATCAATTCATGAATTAGCTGAGTCACACAGACAATCAATTATGCTAAGTACATTTATTAGAAGCTGCCACACCTCAACTAATCACCTTGATTGGCTTTGCCATAATTTAAACCCAACTATTAAAGCAAAGTGCATTAAAACCATCTATCATGAAGCTTAATCAATCACACTTTGGAGCTCTAGGTTTGCTAATTCATGCACTTGGGACACTACTAAAACTTAATTGCAAAATAGAGAATACATGTTATGAATGCAGCTTTTAGTGTGTTTGCCAAAGCAATAACTGTAATGGAGGTCAGAAGATTAGACATTGCTTTAAAAAGTTGATGTCTATTTACTCTAACTTAATTGAATGAAACATTGAGTGACTTACTGGATATCACATACTCCATAAGTAAAGAAGGAATGAAACGTAATTTATCTCCCAGAAATTGCTCAGCAATTTGCAGAATTTATATATATATGATTAGAAGGTGAAAAACGAATAATAATTTAAGTAGTCAAAAATATAAAAAGTAGTGAAAAAATTAATTTTGTTAATTTAAAAGAGTTGATTTGAAACTCAAAAAAGCTCTGCATTGTACATTCATAACTTTTGCAAAAATTTGCACAGAGAAAAAAAAAATTTAAAATAGAATTCTTAAAAATTCTTAATTGCTTGTGTCCTCTTTAGAAGGACTTTTATAGAAGAAAAAAAATCTTCACCATTTAAAACAAATTATATATTAAATTTGACCACATAAAAATGATGGTGGAGAAAAGTTGAGCATGAAATATGAATGCTTGATGCAGCACAGCAATTACAAATGAAGGAGTCATTGACAGAGAGCAATCTATGTGCCATAAAGATTCTGAAAAATTAATAGATGTACCAACATTTAACTTGGAACAAATAAGGAATCCATTACACTGGATAATTTAAATTCAGCATTTTTCTATGAGAAATCTTTACAACATAATGTCTGTGCTGTATCCTGCCTCTGAAGAGAAAGACAACAAATAGGAACTGAAGTTGTCTCTTGTTTTTACTACTATGTTATTTTTGATAACATTAAAGTTTCCAAAAAGGAATTTTGAATTTAGATCAAAATCCACCAAATGGTTATTAAATTTTTGACAAATTTCATTCACCACGCTCTGTAACTTTGTATCATTCTCTTTGCCTCCTAACTTTTATAATTTTGTATAAAACACTTCTCTCTGCCTTTCACTGTCATTTGTTCCCTTCATCAGTCATGGGTCAGAGCTAAGTAATTCCTGTACAATTCTATTTAAAATATTGTTTTTAATACAATTTTGTGTACTAGGATATGCATAATGCTCCAAAATGTTTATTTCTTGTGTGGCCAGGCTACTTTTTGGTCATCAAGCAAACATCTGGCAGTTTACATGAAGCGAACATCCCTAGGTTATTTGGTTTTTCTGTAGCATCTTGAGGAGGGCTAACTGTGCAAATAAAACTGAAAGTTTTAATGGAATTTTTACGTGAGTTTACCTATTTAAATGGACCTTTACAAGACCTGTGCTACAATGATACAGTGTCTTCCTTCCTTGCAGTTACTTTTGTGGACATTTTAGATAAACTCCCAGCAGCTGTGTTTCCATGGTGATTGAATATTGCTTATTGCTTCAAAGGCAGTAATACTTAAAGTTTTCTAAAATCCATTGAATTTTATTTGAAGTGCTGTAAAACACAGTAAAAATGTAGAGACTTGAAAGACACAGACCTAATGCATGGGCACCTGCTTGATGTTTGTGTGGCTTATTCCAGGGAGCAAGAGGCAATAAAGGAAGGCTGGACACTGAGGAAGTGTTTCAAGCTGTGTTGTTCTCCCTGCTGATTCAGTGGGTGCACCCCCAGCACTGTTCTCCATGTCCAAAAAAAGAGGTGGGTCTGCAGCTTTCCATTTGCCTTCCCACATGTGCTGCTTTAGAGTGATGTGTTTTATCAGCACCAGTTCTGGGCAGGGGAATATCAGGCAAGTGATCTTGAACCTGATTTTTTATGGACACTCTATAATAACTCTGGTTAAAAAAAATTGACTTAAAGTTTTCATATTTCTGGTGAGCCAGTCTTTCTGCTGATACCAGGATCAATTGAAACCCTGGTGCTGTGTGTATCTTGACAGCCAGCCTACATTGTGCACAGATTGCTATTACTTGTGCTGTTAATTATAACAGTTAGCTGGTGTTCTACACAGGCTGTATGTTTTCACTTCTGAAGTACAGGGCTGCTTTTTCCCCCATACTAAATTTCAAATGATAGCGTAATAATAATGATGTATTGCAAGAATGGCAACAGATTTTATAAATAAATGATGTAACTTGAGCTGGTGCTGTTTGTTTCCAAAAACCTGTTAGCTTGATCCATACCTGTATTAGATGTGAGAATTCATCTAGCTTTGCATGTTTTCATTTAGATAATCAGCTTCTATTGTCCTTAATCTGTTTTGAGGTGTGCCCTAATTTTTATCTTTTAATTCCTCACAAGAGAGGACTTTAAATAAACCCATGGCAACAATTGGTAAGAGTCTAAGTAGGTCTGTCTTACTTGTACTCTGTCTTGATCTTTTTCTGGTGGTAAAAGGGTGACTGAAAGCATTTTGCACTTAAGTGTGTATTGCTATGCTACTGTAGTATAGCACTGAGCATTGTTAGGGAATGGTACTTTAAATTGATGAGCTGTAGGAAAGGTGTCATGCCTGTTTAAATGTTAGATATTTTTGAAAAATAAATTTTGCTTTCTGCTTAGGAGCTGAATTTGACTCCTTTTTCACAGCCTTCCTTCACTCCCTATTCCTTGTTTTTTGTGGTAAAGAAGAAGTTTTATTTGACCATATTTGAATTACTCTGTGTGTTCACACGCATCTTTCAGCAGTCTTTTATCCAATCAATATTTTGGACAAAGATTGATAGCAAAGCACACTAGACAGCAATTTCTGTACTCTAACTGGAAACACATTTGAAAAAAGTCATGTCAATTGGCTGCACCTGAGCCCAGAAACAGAGCAACAAACAAATAAAAGGGTGAAATATTTAAGTTTAAAAGATCCATGAAATGGAAGACACACCACCCTAAAAGCGGAAATAATGGTGCTTCCTGAACTTAAAATGGATCACTTGAACTGCAACAAAGACTCTAAGACTTGTGTGGCCTTTCTGGAAGAGCTGGCTGAGCTACTCCTCTAAGTTTTGAAAAAAGAACAGCATATAACTGGAATCAAATCTGAGAACTGATTTTGTTGAAAAATACTGACATAAAGAGAGGATTTTCTGTCACTAACCATTGAGCAGTTGGTAATCCTGACCACTGTAGCATGGTTTAATGCATTTCTTAAGGGCAAAAATGACCTCTCTTCTGCTTTCTTGAGCAAGCTGCCATTTTAATTGCCTCTTTCAGCCCTGTAACTTTTTTCTTGCTTAATCTCTGTCCATGATTTTAATCAGCCATCTGTCACCAGAGGTGCTTTACCCCATGTTATATCTATGAACCTCATTGTAACTGAAGAGAAGACAATACCAAAAAACCCATCTGAAACAAAAAGTAATGAAAGAACATTGAAATAAAAATACATACAGCTCTGTAGGATACCCAAATAGGTTTATTTTGTAGAAATCAGTTGTTTTTGAGGACTGAACTTAGCTACTGAAATTTTTCCTAGTCAACATCCATTTCTGCCTTTATGAAACATAGAAGAAGACATAATGGTTGTAAACAAATCTATTTCAAGTGAATAGGGATTTGTGCAACCAAGAGGGTATTCTTTAGAATCCAGTTTTTGAGAATATTTTAGCAGAAAATTCAGAGCCAGAGTGTGTTTGTATTTATGAATGCACTTAGAGCAATGAAAGCAAATATTTTCCAAGGCCTGCTAAGAGTGGCACTCAGCATTTCACTCTGTTTAATTTACACAGGGTGAGCTCCAGTATGTCAGGTACTATTGTGTGGTACATTTCTGGCAAATGCTGACATAGCTATAGGTGCTGCTGCTGTATCCAGTTCTGTTCTAACTGCAACACAAGCCTTGATGCTTCCAGGCATTACTGTTTTCTAACTTAAGAATTTAATTTGCTAACCAGAGATATATACTCTATGGAATAGTATCTGGTAAGGTCAGTTAAACCGTTTATGAGGTGCTAGAAGTTCTAAAATATTTTTATTTTTTAATGGAAAAATACAAAAAGGAAAACAAAAAATAGCCCTTTTATTGTTTTAGTTCTTTTTAAGATGTGAATTTTAAACTTTTGAAAAAGTATAAAGACAGAACAGTGTAAATATTGGACAATTTTTCCTCCTTCAATAATCCAAAGACTAAAGTAGTAGGATTAAAATCTCATTTGCTGATTCAATAAATATTAGTTACAGATATTAAAAATTACAGATATATGAGAACTAAATGCAGGCTTTATTTAACAGGACTGCTGTCAAACAACACAAAATATTTCTGTTGAACTAAAAAGAGAAATTCTTGTTTCATTTTTATAACATAAAGATGGATTTTTTTAAATCTATCTAAAGTCAAATAATAGTGATAGTAAGTTTCTTGATCTGAAGGTGAACTGATTGACTACATTAGCACAGGATTAAATTACTCTGGTGAATGCAATAATGAGGTTTATGTAATTGATATTTGTTACATAAATTGCAAGATACATTTCTGATTTAAGACTAAAGACAGAATCATCATCTTAAGTTGTCCAGGTCTGAGGTGATAGATCAATGTAATTAATCTGTGTGGTGGTTGTCTCAGAGGATAGAGCCCGAACATGCTCCACCAGATAAAATAATGAGGAGAGTCTGGGAAATAACCAATGGCAGAAACAAATTCTGCAGGAGCTGAGAAACCACAGAATAGCTTAGAGTAGATCATTGTACATCTGCCAAGTGATGGACTGATACGAGAACGGACCTACCTAATTAGCAAAGCCTTCATCCTTCCCATCTGGAGATTTAACTCTGGTGTGTGCACAAGGTGGTCTTTATTAATCATGAATTGAAAAAAAATGCCTATGACTCCTAGGCAACATTTTCAGTAGCTGAGCCAAAACAGTTTCCTTTGGCTAAAGAGTATCAATGCCATACAGTGACTCAGGCTTGTTTTTGGCTATTCCACATAAGCTGAATTAAGAAAAAAATTAGAAAATGCAGACATGAAAGTCATAGTTTTCACAGCTGTCAGATACATATATTATATTGCATGACATATGCAATAAGAACTGGTTTTAAAAACCAGTTTCTATTGTGGCTAAGTGGTTCCAAGTGGCTTCTCCATCAGTGATTATTTTAGTGTCTGTATCTAAAACTGTGGTCCTGAGGCTTCTCTTTCCAGTTAGTTGCTAGGCAGTGCACAGGTAACAGTTTCAATGCAGAATTGATGTGGATTTTTTTTGGGCACATCAATAAACAACTCTGTCTGAGTTAAACATCTGTTTCACACCTAACCTGACCTGAGATAAAAACCAAAACATTTTCTGCATCGGGCCCAGCAGGTGGTAGTCAGTAGCACAAAGCACAGCCGCAGGAGGATAGCTATCTTATTTCTTATCAAGCGTGAGAAAGGTATAGAAGATTAAATTTCTTTTTCTGAAGGGGACTCAGATCCAGCTCTTTCATTGACAGAGTGACATTTTCTATCAAATGCTGAAACATTCATCATGCAAAGAGAAAGTGTAAGACAACATGCTGAAAATTTGCGCATGATGATAAAGAATGTAGGGTTCAGGCCTTGCAAGATATTTCCATAATTTACTGGGGGGGAGGGAAGGAGGCATTTGCATTTGATCTACTACCAATCCATTAATTAAAATACAAAAATTTTGAAGAGGGACTGATAATCACAACTCATTAACCTTCTATTTTTTTTCTTCATTTTTTGTTAAAACACTTTAATATGCCCCCTTTGACAGCCTAGGTGATTAGAGCAGTCTCTGTCAAGACGAGACGTTCGAGTCTAGATGGTAGGAAGAGATTCATGATTACTTACAAAAATCTTAGAGGTATCAAATGGTATGTGGTATAACAGCTTCTGATGGTATTATATATTTCACAGTCTTTCAGGAGTTTTAAATTCATCTTTGAAGTGATAAAAAGATAGGTGGATGAAAAAGAAAAGGGGAGAACAGAGAAAGAATTTAAAGTGTTAAGTGATTATTTGACAGAAAAACTGAGATTTTTTTTCAATATTCTGTATCAAGAAAACCATGTCTTATAATTTGAAAACCTTTTTTGCCCCATTTTCACTTATTGAACTTTCAAAAATAGAAGTGTTGTTGTTGCTAAAGGATAAAACTAAAATATAAGGGTGATATTTTATAACTCTCCTTTCCACCAGAACAAAAAGTATGAATTCAACATCTCACAAATGGGTTCCCTTTTAAGTTGTTGGTCAGAACAATGTGAATGCTCTCTTTGGATAGACTGGTAATAAAAATGACAAAAATCAAACTGAAGCGCAGAAAATAATGTTTTGAGATGAAAGCTAAAAAAAGCAAAAGCTGGGTCTAAAAGCTCAACATCACACAAACAAGTGAAAGATGTAATTATGCACAGATTGAGAGAGATTGCACTAATGAGACCTTATATTGTAAAGTTACAGTGTCGGACCACTGTTTCTCACTGACATTGTACTTTCTGAATATAATACTTTCTATTTGATAATGATAAACTTTTCCATTTGTTGAGGGCAGTCTGACTTGAATGCTGAATTCTGTTCTTTAAAATTAGCTTGTGATTGTCTTATCTTTTTTTGGTATCAGTGGAGGAACATATTTTCACTCTTGAATTTTTACTTCTGCTCATAATTTATCAGGTAATACTCTTTCCTCACACCTCATAAAATTCTATAAAATTATTTATAAAACCTTACCTTTATAAAATGAAATTCCCTA